GCTTAACTGTCTGAGCCACTCAGGCGCTCCAAGCTTTGTTTTCTTAAATTCAGCCTCTACCATGTCATTTCCCTAGTCCAGACCCTACAAGGCCTCTTTATGACCATACACGGGTTTTTCCAAGGATGGAAATAATCCTTATATTACGATTTCTCCAGAGAAATAAGAATATAAATATACATTTATACTAAATATAAAATTTTAATTTATTTATACTTAAATATACATATTTAGAGAGAGAAAGATTTACTTTAAGGAAGCGGCACAAGTGATTGTGGGGGCTGGCAAGTCTCAAATTTTCAGGGCAGGCCAGCAAAGTAGACATCCAGGGAAGAGTTGATCCCATCTTGAGGCTAAAGGCAGAATTCCTTTCTCTGGGGGCCTCAGTCTTCTTAAGGCCACCAACTGATTGAATGAGGCACCCACATTATGGAGGACAATCTGCTTTACTCAAAGTTTACTGATTTAAATGTTTATTACATGTAAAGTGGTCAAAGGGTACAAACTTCCTATTATATGATGAGTAAGTTCTGGGGGTGTAATATACAGCGTGGTAACTATGGTTAACAAGACCATATTGTATTCTTGAAAGTCGCTAAGAGAGTAAATCTTAAAAGTTCTCATCACACACATGCACACAAGGGGTAACTCTGTGAGGTGATGAAGGTGTTAACTAGCCTTATTGTGGTAATCTCTTCACAGTATATATGTATATCAAATCTTCACATTTTACATCTAAACTTACACAATGTTGTGTGTCAATTATATCCCAATAAAGCTGGAGGAATAAAATGTTAATTGTGTCAAAAAATACCTTCCCAGCAACAGCTAGACTGGTGTTTGATCAAAAACTAGACACCATTTTGCCTAACCAAGTTGACACATAAAGTTAATCACTGTGGTGCTCCTCCTCAAATGTATCCATCCTAGGGTGGAATCTTTGGCTACATACTTATGCCTGAAGTTATTGGGAAATTGATAAAACATGATAAAGATCCTTCCAGATTTAGGGAAGTAGGAGATGTGTGCATTTCTGATTAGTGAGAAAGGCCATGAGTGGAATTAATTAAATTCTCGTTTATCTCTTGGGTGTTTTTATGGGAAAGAGAATAAAGCTGATTGGAGGCCACCAACGTTGATATGTTAGAAGCAGATATTATTGCTTTTGCAGATTTTTGGCAGGACTTTCCAATTAGCATTCGTTGCTGTTTGAAGCATTTGGGTAAGCAGCTCTTTTCAGGCTGAGTGAGTTAGGACCCCACAGACCACTGAGACAAGCCTGTTTCTGTGCCTTCCGGGGCTTCCCAAAGCCTATCTCTCTGCCTGTGACAACCCAGTTCCCACCCTCCTCTTTGCAATTATCACACCAACTTCCATTAAGGTATCCCGGCTGATGTAGTTTTCTACAACTTAGATAACTATTCATTTATCTGTGACATCTGATTTTCAAATATAACTTGTAAATATCTTTAATATACACAGTACTTTTATAGATCAATATGGAGTAAACAGACCCCCTCCATATGGCAAATGAGGTGGACATGCAGTTCATAAGAGGTTCAAATGGCCAAGAAACACGAGACAATATGTTCAGCATCACTAAGTTAAAAAAAAGAATTCTAAATAAATATTAAGTGTAAATTTTGACTTTCAGAATGGCATACTTCAGTGAATAAAATAAAATTTGGAAGCTCTTCATAGGAGACTTTATTAGTTTCCCAGGATTATAGTAACAAAGTACCACAAAGTACCAAAGTACTACAGCAATGTACCTGGGTGGCTTTAAATAATAGAAATTTATTGTTTCACAGTTCTGGAGGTTAGAAGACCCAAATCAGGGTGTCAGCTGGGGCCACACTCCTTCCAGAACTTAAAAAGGAGAAGACATCTGTTGATGGAGATCAATTCTTATTGCCCTTGGCTTACAGCCACAGCACTACATTCTCTGCCTCGTGGTCCTTCTCCCTGTGTGTCTGTGTCTGAATTTTCCTCATTCATTCATTTATTCATTTTGAGAGATTAAGAGTGTGTGTGTGTAAGCAGGGGAGGGACAGAGAGAGAGAGAGAGAGAGAGAATCCCAAGCAGGCTCTGCACTGTCAGTGCAGAGGGGCTCGATCCCATAAACTGTGAGAGCACGACCTGAACTGAAATCATAAGTCAGATGCTTAGTCCACCGAGCCACCCAGGAACCCTTCAATTTTCCTCTTATAAGGACACTGGGTGTATTGGCTTAGGGCCCACCCTAAGGACTTCATCTTTACTAATTACATCTGCAGACTCTATTTCCAAATAAGGTCACATTCACAGGTACTGGGTGTTGGGGCTTCAACATACTTTTCAGGGCCCACAATTCAACCCGTAGCAGTGGATGTGAAAGGCATAAGCCGAGATATTAATACATAACAGCAAAGAGCAAAGGAGAAAAGGATCATTTCAGCAGAGGTAACATGGACAGAAGACTATCAGGGACCAGACAACACATGCCAAAATGTTACATAGCTTCCAGAAGGTAGATGACATTCAGAAAGAAAGAAGAAGGCTGAGGGTTAAACGGGAAGTTGAACAGAGTTGATTTCAGTGGACAAGATTAGGTTAGTTGATACCAAGAAGAAATGACAGAGGAAAATTAAAAAGTTAAATTCAATTCAGGTATATATATGGCAGATTCATATTTTCAATCTGCTTGGGCTATAAAAATCCATAGCTACCTAACAGAAGCCAAATTGAAATGTAGCATTTTATAAATAGGCAGGTTGGTGACCAATACAATCATTGTAAGTATTAGATTGAATCTTACAAAAGTGCCAATATTTGATCATTTAATCTACAAAAATGGCAAATGGATGTGGATTAGCCTAATATACATGGGAAAAAGACTTGCTAACCTCATTAACAGAATCAGAGGCATTGATTTTACCACATATATTTGGGCAGAAAGCTTAATACATGTTTAAAAGCCAGAACCTACATTTCACTTTCCTCCAAATTCTGACTCCTTCTACACAGCCAGCGAAAGCATGGCAAGATTTTAGATTTGAATTTGGAGGAAAATGGAATGGCTGCTTAGGTGTGTTGAGGCCTAAGCCTTGGGTCAAACCCAGGTCGTCTGGGGAACCCTAGTTGGAGATTGTGTTGGAGGCAATAACCACCTCTGCCCCAGCCACACGGGGGTGCCTGATGACAAGGTTCCCAGCACAGAGCCTTATTATCTAGAAGATGAATTCACAGCTCTAGCAGGTGGCGTATAAAGCCCGCCTTCACTCCAGCCTTCTGTCCCGCTGTCTCCAAACTTACTGTGGCAGAGATGGCTCTTGACCAACCCAGATCAGTGCTTTTCCTCAGAATGTAGTCATTCTGGGAAATGACTCCTGGCCAGGAAACACATTGCTCAGTGCATCTAGATGAGACCACGTCCCAGGTTTGGGCCAGTGAAATGTAGGTGGGAATCATATGTGTCACTTCAGCACAGAGGGGATGAAGGCCATACTTTCTCTCTTCTTCCAGTCTGTTGATCAGGTGTCCCTTGAAGCCACAAAATAAATCAAACCTGTGTCCCGAGTCACCATTTGGAGGAAAGCCACCCTGCGACTTACCAGGCCAAGAACTCCTGTACTGAACATGGTGCGAGTGAGAAATAAACTTTGGTTTTGTTGAGCTACAGAGATAGGGATTGTCATCATAACTGTGATTGTCATCACAACGTAGCCCACCTCAGTACTCCCTACATGTCAGCATCTTCCCTCATCATCTGTTCCCTCAACGAGTCACGTGGTTTCACTGGTCTGGCCTTGCACTCTCTGCTCTCTGCCTAGACTAACTCCTCCCTTTTGGAGCTGGTGAGCCACCAAGATTCAGAGATGAACTTATTCTGAGTCCCTGTCTGACTTTACCAGGCTGTGTGCTACTCCCTCGTTCCTCCCCTCACTGTGCCTTGTACCATAGCCTCTGTCAGATCACGTTGACACTGTCATCTTCTCAAAAGGCCGTGAGCTCTTTAAACACAGGCACTAGATCTTATTCTGTATGTTCAGAGCACTGAAAATAGCACTTGGCATGTAGTGGCTTTTCCGTACATGAATTCTGAATTAGTCTGAGTGAATTGAGGGTGTGAGGGCTCTCTGATTACATCTTTTAGTCAGCTGACTGTGGGGTGTAGTTGGTCAGAACTGAATTAGAGGGCTTGAGTCACTGCAGGTGTGTCCTTGTGTGGCTGTGCTACTCTGAAAATCAGTAAAGCATTTAAAAGGAATGCACAGAATAAAGAAGTGGGTCATCGGAACTTATCTTTTGCTATTCACTGAAGGTTAGAGGAAACTCGAGCCTTCTCATTTTCAGAATGTGGGTTTTTTTTTAATTTTAAAAGAAGAATTTTTAAATGTTTATTTATTTTTGAGAGAGAGAGAGAGAGAGACAGAGTGGGAGAGGGGTGACAAGAGAGGGAGGCACAGAATCTGAAGCAGGCTCTAGGCTCTGAGCTGTCAGCACAGAGCCCAAGCTGGGCTGGAACTCACAGACTGGGATATCATGACCTGAGCCAAAGTTGGATGCTTAACTGAGGCCCCCAGAATGTGTGTGTGTGTGTGTGTGTGTGTGTGTGTGAGAGAGAGAGAGAGAGAGAGAGAGAGAGAGAGACAGAACATGTGACATGGGAAGGGGCAGAAGGAGAGGGAGAGAGAGAGAATCTTAAGCAGACTCCACACTCATCATGGAGCCCGATGTGGGGCTCCATCCCACGACCCTGGGATCATGACCGGAGTTCAAATCAAGAGTCAGATGCTTAACTGAATGAGCCACCCAGGTATCCCATCAGGATGGATGTTTTTAGTGGCCGCAGACCATGTGAAGTATGTGCTTAGCTTGAAAGACATTAGGAATGGGGATTTCTCCCAGAATTCAGCCAGACATTTTTTGAGTTCGCTTCTCTCTGAAGTTTGAATTTTTTTTTTTTTTTGAGTGGACAATAAGGGAATAAAAAAGTGAGTTCAAATGAGACAGGAAGTGCTTTAATAGGAATGTTTTATTGACTCTGCCCGAGCTTCTAGCATAGCTTATAAAGTGAAAACACTGCATTAATAAAAATGGAACATTATTGGTTACACAAAACCCTGTCCTTTCTCTTTCAAATCCACCAAGGGAGAAGTCCTTCATTCTTTGGGGTTGCTGACGAGGGCTGTGGTGGAGTAGGAGTAGGGGCTGAGCAGGGCAGCGATGGTGTAGCTGCGGCTGCCAGAGTCGTTTGCTGTGAACACCACCTAAGAGAGAGCAGAAACAGGGTCCATTTCTAACAGAGCCTAAAAACGTGAGTCAGAGGCAGAGAGACCACTGGAAGTCCAGTGCCAATTTAATTCATTTTATTTTATTATTTCTTTTTCTGGAACAGTTTGAGCAAAAGGCAAAACTCCAAGTACACTGGTAAGACTCTGGGAGCCTGGCACAGCCCTTGGAATAAGATTTCTTTACTGCCGCCTGTAGAATCAGGTCTCTCTTTTTTGTTTCATTTTGTGTTTTACAAATGCACACTAAAATTCAGAGTGGCCCTAGCCTGACTGAGAGAAATCACAGAGAATCTAAATCTTCTTGTCCATGTTCTTGGTTTTAGAAAAAGGAGGAGAAAAGGTAATAACCAGCATTCAGTGACCTGAAGGCTGAAGAATGGTGAGTGCCATTCATACTGCAATACCTAGAGACCTAGAATGTTAGAGCTGGTAGGTAATACTCTTACTACTTAATTTAAAAAAATTTTTTTTAAATGTTTATTTATTTTGAGACAGAGAGAGAGAGAGAAAAAGAGAGAGAGAGAGAGAGAGCATGAGCAGAGGAGGGGCAGAGAGAGAGGGAGACACAGAATCTGAAACAGGCTCCAGGCTCTGAGGTGTCAGCACAGGGCCCACTGTGGGGCTCAAATCCACAAACTGCGAGATCATGACCTGAGCTGCAGCCGGACACTTAACCAACTGAGCCACCCAGGCGCCCCTCTTACTACTTTATAGATAAGTAAACTAGATCTCTGAGTTAGTGTTTGGCCCAAGTTTATATAGGACAGAGCCAGGCTAGAAGTTAAGGCTCCAGTCTACAAACCCAGAGATTTCTCTCCCCTCTATTCCTTTGCATTTTTAAACATAGAAAGCACGTATGTTTTTATGTATATAACAAGCAATGAAATATGGAGTAGAAGCATCATACGGTTCTATTTACAATAACAGAGTGTGGAAGATAATGTGGGAATTTTGAAATAGACATGCATGGGTTGGAGCTCATTTGAGCTTTTCTAAATGGACAAATTGCTAACAAAAGTGTTATTCCTGTTAGCCATGTACTTCAGGAGAGTTTAGTAGAGATTCTGAGACTCAGTCACTGGAATAGTCTGGGAGGGATGGATCTGACTCAGGAGAGTGATGAGGGGAAGTGAGGAGGTCTTTAATTTTACTTATTTTGTACACAGGCCTTGGAATGAGCTTTGGACACATCCTGGATAAATATGTTTTGTTCCTAATACGCAAAAAGGAAGTCTTGATTATTTGGGGACAGGAGAAAAAAAGATCTGATTAAACTGTATTGAAAATGAAAATAGCATGAGGGCAAGAGGAAGTGAGAATCACCTAACAACCTCTCAGAAGAAGAAAAAGCATTCTTTAAAGGCCAAATGTCTAAAAGGATGAGGGAAAGCTTTTTCTCTCTCCTAGTGACATTGGCCTCCAGCCCTACTTGAGTCTTCCTGAGAACTGTGGGTGGCATAACCTGTGCTCAAACTCCCATGAAGTGGAGAGGCCTAATGGTTCCACAGGAAATTTCCCAACTTTCTCGGTAAGTATAACATGGCCACCTGTGTCACTGGCTAGGGAGAAGGTAGCTAATGCTGAAGAATAGCAGCTATCTCGGGAGGTCTTGATCAGGAGAAGCTGGTGGGGAAGCAATTCATGGCTGGACCTGCCATCACTAGTGGCTGAACTAAGGCCTTGGGGCTTGCTCTCGCCTACCTGCTCTGTCTCACTCTCCATATCCATTCAAGCTCCACGTAGGGCTGAATGTGTGACCCAATATGTCCTACCTCAGTCCCTCTCCTTCCACACCAAGGGCAGGAACGTGTTTTCACCTCTGAATTTCTAGCATTTAGCAGCATGTTTGACACATAGAAGCCTTTTATTTTCAAGACGTGAGGAGCTGAATTAATACTATAGAGTAAATAATAGGCAAGACAGCTAACATCTAGTGAATAGGAGCAACGTATCATGGGCGGTCTGGCAGCGAATCTTCTCACATGGTCTCATGAGGCTGAGACCAGAGCAGACAAATGTTCCAAGGAGGCTGATCCAGGGCAAAGGCTGAGACTCTAGGGGCAAATGTTTTATGGTAGCACCTCTTAGCCCTGGACTATCTAAACTAGGCTCTTTGTCTTGCTGCCCCACGGAGAAGGAGCAGCCAAAGGCAAAGCTTCTTGGTAGAATGGGGCTCCCTGGATGCCTTGTGAGCCCCAGAAGTCAAGCAGCCCCCCTGCCTCAGTTTTTCTGGCAACAACACTAAAAGAACCATTTTCTGTCCATTTAAAGCCTCATCTGTGACTAAGCCAGAGAGAATGGTTCCCTTTCATGCTGAGCTATTTTTGATGCAATTATTTGATCTTTAGCTCTGACCAACATGTCTGGATTGTATTTCCATGACAGCCATCTGTTTTAAATGACTTAAGGAATTACACACAAGGAGGAGACAGCAAGATTGGGCCCATATATAACTCTGAGGTTCCTACTACTTCATCAGCAAAAAACAGAGTATGAACCAAGGGTTGCAAATGTGGCTTTATTATTTTTTTAGCCTGGCTTCTTGTTGGAAGAAAGCTGAGGCCCACCTGAGGCTCAACTCAGCCTGGGCCCTGTTGGTAATTATTTCTGCTCCTCCCTTTACTAGCCCGTGACTTTTGGCAACTTGTTAAACTGCCCTGTGCCTCATTTTCTTTCTTTGTAAAATGAGGATAATAGTAGGACCGATCCCAGTGGGACGTTCGTGAGGATTGAATAAGTTAAATGTAGAAAACACAACAGCCTGGCATGGGGTATAGGCTTGATAAGTGGTATCTGTTGTGTTGCCCTTATTATTTTGAATTTACTGTCTCTATATGCATTACCCCAAGTCACTTACCCAAACCTCTGGGGACCAGGTTGTTTTGGGATAAAGTGTGTTTTCAGATTTTAGAGAAGTAAAACGATGTGTCGATGTTTGTTACCCTAGGTGGTGGGATCTGGAGATCTGTCTAATAATCCAACAGGTTAACAGTTCTTCAGCTAAAAATTTTCCTATTCAGTGGAATGAGAGAAGACAATAAGAAGCATCGTGTAGATTCAGGTCATGTTACTCAATGAGTTTCCACCAAACTTTGCCTTTCAGAGTGTTCTAGATTTCTGACTGTAGAAATAGGAAAGGGAATCTGTGCTAATTCAGTTTCCCGATGGCATTTCCATGGTATGTGATGTGCAAACTGGGCATTGCCTAGGATCAAACACAAAAAAATAAAAATAAAAGCAATTCAAGTGTCTCTATACTCTCACCTCTGCATATTCATGGAAAGGGGAAATGCCAAGCGACTTCCAGTAGGTCTTGGTGTCTAATTCCACTTTGTATACCCCTTCCACAAAGTTCTCAGGAGTTGTGAGCCCATGGAGCTCTCCAAATTCACTGGTTTTCCTAGAAGGTACAAAATTACAGGTTACGTTAGGCATTAGGGGAATAAATGCCATGGCAAGCATGGCAAGGTGATACCACACACACACACACACACACACCCCACATATGTGCAGTGTATGTATATGAGGGGATATATATATGTATGTATATGTATTTTTTATTTACAGTAAAACCTTGGATTGTGAGTAACTTGTTCTGCGAGTGTTCTGCAAGGTGAGCAAACATTTCTAACAAATTTAACTTGATAAATAGGCCATGTTTTGTGATACAAGTAGTATGTAATGCCGAATGTCACATGATCACAACTGACCCAAAGGTTCTTGAAATTTGCTTTGATATACAAGTGCTTTGGATTACAAGCATGTTTCCAAAGTGAATTATGCTCATAAACCAAGGTTTTACTGTGTATATATATATTTTCTGAATATATATTCAGGAAAGGAAGAAGGGAAGGAAAGGTGAATTTTCTGTAACTGTCTGAAATTAACTGTCAAGAAATTTGTCAGAAATGTTTCAAAAAGCTTATTGCAGATTTTTCGTAGGAGAACAGAAGATATAGGTATAATGTTTCACTTCAATAATAGTCATTGCCGGGTGCCTGGGTGGCTCAGTCGATCAAGCATCTGACTTCGGCTCAGGTCATGATCTCATGGTTCGTGGGTTCAAGCCCTGTGTAGCACTCTGTGCTGACAGCTTGGGTCCTGGAGTCTGCTTTGGATTCTGTGTCTCTCTCTCTCTGCCCCTCCCCTGTTCATCCTCTCTCTGTCTTTCTCTCTCAAAAATAAATAAACATTAAAGAAAATTAAAAAAAATTAAAATCACATTGTGATTTATGATCGGTGTTTGGGTGAAGGTTTGTAACTACCCCTCAGAAGTGTCCATAAGCTGCCCTGACTCTGAGGTTCACCATGATATCAGGGTCTCACTCCTTCCCCCCTGGCAGCAGGGTGTCTTTCAGAGGCAGTATCATTGGTACACACAGGGGGAACTCCTAAGTATTAAGCATATGAATTTTTTATTATTTATATGTTTAATCTCTTTAGTAACACTTTGCCAACAATAACTACTAGGCAGGCTCCTTTTTAAAAAATGACTGGGGATCTTCTGCTTCCCTTCATGTGCCAGCTCAGTTGCTGATGTTAGAAATTGCTCTCCCTTAGATCTCAAAAACTGACAGATAAAAGTGGAAATTGTCTTCACTAACTTTGATCGTTGCCTTTCCACCTTTCTTCTTTTCCAGGAAGAGAATATTCAATTTCTTTCTTTTTTTTTTTTTTTTGTCTTGTCATAAAAACGTTCACATGAACATCTGAATATTTTAGGTTTTCATTCTATCTCTTGCTTAGAATATTCCCTTAAGTACTTTCCACATTGTGCTTGGCATTTTAGATAAACATAAATGAATTCACAAATAAGGACTCAGTTGAAACCACACCAATGAAAGTGGTCTTCCCTGCAATGGTTGAAGAATCATGTGCTTCATGGGATTCAATGAAAACCCACAGAAATTTACCTTCCAGGAGACATAAACTCTGAGCAGTATTGTTTGGTGCTGAGGATTTCCTGGTTGCCCGTTCTTTCAGTTAGCTGGTTTTGATTTACTAACGTGCATTTTCTTTACAATTCTTGCTAATGGAGGTGGCAAAACTCTACAAAAAGTAAAGGTGGCCGATGAAGGGGACAAGTGATTGTTGTACCTTATGTTGGGTGATGGCTCTGCTTTGCATATTTGTCTTCCTTTTCTGTGCCTTTCTGTTACTGAGTGTGACAGCCCCAGCCTTGCACAGAGTAGGTGCTCCACTGTGCTGGGTTCTGGATGACCCAGGTAGACTACTGACAGGTGCCTGGTCAGGGCTATCCCTCAATTCCTTTCCCCTCCTTAATAAAGTAACACACATTGTTAACTTTTTGCCTAAAATTCCCAAACACAGGAGCCTGGCTGGCTCAGTCAATGGAGCGTGTGACTCTTGATCTTGGGGTCATGGGTTCAAGCTCCATGTTGGGGGTTGAGATTACTTAAATAAATAAATATTAAAAAATAAAATTCCAAGAGAAGGACCCTAGCTTGAGTGTTATGCAAGGGCACCAGGGAATCTGTGACACTCTTGAAATTATATATATGGTGTGTGCATGCATGTGTGCGTGTGTGTGTGTGTGTGTGTGTGTGTGTATGTGATTTTTCTTGATGTAGAGAAACATAGTTTTCATTACCTTCTTAAAGTGGCCTGTGACCCAAGAAGGCAGTGAACCGCTACTGGAGTAGATGAGGCGCTGGCTCCTTTTCCCTGCCATCTGCTCTGAATGCTGCTCACCCTCCTGGACACTCCCATCTACACAAAGGAGAGGAAGGCATCCTCCCCAGGGCCCACTTGACCTCTGCCTGCATTTTCAATCTACCTGAAGATTTCTTCAGCGAATGATGTGAGCCGTTCTCTCTAACAAGTAGTGGAAGAATGAGGAACTAGATCAAGGTCCCATGTCTGGGTTTCTTAGGCAGCTTACCCCGAGGCGAAGGGCTCCCAGCTCTCATCAGCAGCCTTTTTGAACACTTTCACAGCCACGTTGACGGCAGGACTGCCTCGGACAGCATCTAAGACTTTGACCATCAGAGGACACTTGGATTCACCAGTGCCCTGGGCATAGAGAAGACCAGTGAGAGGTCAACAAAACTGGTTAAGAGTGAAAGGATCTGTTCTTTATGGTGTTAGAAATCTGGAACAAGGCAAGAAGTCCATGCCAACTCCATTTTCAGCAATGTGAATGTCGACAGTTAGTGAGCTCCCCTGCTCAGTATAACACAGACACGATTGTTCCCAAAGCAAGACTGGTTTCGGCCCCCGGACTTGCTGCGATCGACCTGGAACTCGTGTAATGAATTTTAAGGGAGAAAACAGGCCCTCTGAGAACTGGTGCTGTGTTAAGCATTGCCATTTGAGTGGCAATGTGGAATTTAGTGGAATTACTAAAAAGATGCAATGTGCCACAGGACCAAATAGTTTGTTTTTCCTGAGAACATTTTAGTCAGCTGCTGCTGTAGTAATTCCCTGTTACTAGTTGTAAAATAATGTCAGACTACTTCAGGATGCATTTTATAGTATTAATTAATTCTTCTAGAGGACTTGAGAATTCAGTAATTGACTAGAATGTTGTCCACCCAGCCTTTCAGAGCTGAATCAATAGACACATTTTGGTTAGCTGAAGGGAAATAAACCTTATAAAAGGAAGTATTTCTGAAAACGTAATATTGGTAGCTTAATGAATCATATCTTTATTTCTACCACATACTCGAGGACATTGAGGGCAGGAGTCAGGCACGGTAAACTCAGTGCACCGAAGCTATAGTGGGGAGCACCCAGGGTCCAAGCTCCGGATCAGTGAGCTCTGCAGAACTTCATTCATTTTGCAGTTTGACTCGATGATGTTTAAAAGTCGATGCTGGGTACCCTTCTCCTAGTAACACAAGCCGCCTGGCAGAGCTGAGAGAAGGCACCTCTGTTTCATCAGGTGTACATAAGAATCAGATAAAAGGACTTCACAGAATCAAGCACTCACCGCAGGGCCAGCCTCAGACACAAGTACCAATCCGGCAAGGCAAAGGAGGAGCAGATGAGGAGAAGCCATCCTGCCAAGAACGAGAGAGTCTCTGTCTGTGCTGGCCGCCCCCAGCTTGGGGCTTTTATACTCACTTCTCCCAAGCCATCCCTCTGATCCCTGCCAACATGACTCCAAACCTGCTGATTCTGATTATTGACTTAGTCAACAAAGAGAGAATAAGTAACTCATACAAATATGAACCTTGCCTAGAGAGATTAGAGCGTAGGAACATTAGCTCTATGAAATATTCTTATTCTTAACAGGTCATTTGACCAGCTAGGTCACCAAAACAAAATAAGCAAAACCAAACAAAATTATTCTCCCTCCTTGGCAGGATGCAGCAACATTCTTGGGATTTTTTCCCCTCCCTTACCGATTTCTCTGCATGCTTTTCCATTTACTATACATTATGTCTTTCGTTTTAGATGCTGGATGAAAGTTGTAATAATTTGTTTCACAAAGAATGACATTTGGCCACACAGGGTTAAATACAGTGCATTCAAAAACATCACTGCACTTGGTATACGTCCATGAGTCAACATGAGAAAGCTTTTACAGTGCTTATATTTTAAAACGCCTATGTTTTAGCCAAACTAAGTCATCTGGAAGCTTTGCTTACTCAGCAACTTCCCCACCAATTTTGTGTTCTTCCCAGACAAGGCTCATCTCAATCCCAGAAATAATGATATATGTCACACTGGCATCAGTGACCCTGAAATACAGAGAACCAGATAAACTTTACTGCTTCTCCTGCTCTGATGTGCAGAAACCAGGCTACCCAGCTGGCTATCAAATCTCAAGAATCAAAATCCAGGAGCAGCTGGCTGACTCGGTTGGTGGAGTGTGTGACTCTTGATCTTGGCGCTGTGAGTTTGAGCCCCATGCTGGGTGCAGAGATTACTGAAAACAAGAGTCACAATTCACATTTCTGGACAGAAGTAAAGATGACTGTGAGAAATAGAAGCTACGGCTGACAGCAGAGTCTCTTCCTCCTCATGACTTACACGTCTAGAAATTATCATTATTTAAGTAATAACTCAGGTGTATGTGTGCACACACAATGTGTATGTGGCTTTGATCATGGATTCATGAAGACAAGATTGTCCTTACAGACACGTGCAGAAGATAAGACAAAACTTCTGGACAAATACACATCAAGGAGGAGTCTAGTTTGGAGAAGCGAGGGCGGGGAAAGAATTCCCACAGCTGACAGTCAGGCTGAAAGAAAGTTGACAAGCAATCATGAAGGATAAATGGCTTTCAGGGAGAAGTGGAAGAACAGGGAGGCATTTCAGGAATATGGAAGTGTGCAGAAGAAGACTTAGGGACCACAGGAAAGCAATAATGAGCAAATCCAGTTCTGAGTATAGCTAGGAATGGAATCCTATAGCCTTGGAGTCTGACTCTGACATGGTGCTGGAAAGAGTTTTGAGTCTGGAGATAGATAATCTGAGTCATCCAATTCCTAATTCTGCTGCCCTGTTTCCGGGGTGACCTTCTCTGAGTTATTTAATACCTCAGCCATGCAGCTCATGCATTTATAAAGTAGAAATATCTAATATTTTAGTTCAAAGGACCTTTCTAATAACTCTTAATATGAGATGATATAAAAGCTCTTTGTAACCTTAAACCGCTGTTCTGATGTCAAGGATAGTTACAAAGATTTGGTTGAACATCTCTGCTAAGGAGAAAACCATTTCTCTAATGTTTCATCTATATTGTCATCTGATTTTCTCTTGACATGTTTCCATTGCTCAGAACTTGGATGGAGAGGCTGTTTTCTGACTAGCAACTCTAAATATTTGAAAAATTTCTCATATCCTGTCAGTCTTCCATCTCAGCACTACTCTCTGTTGGAACCTGGAAATGTCGTCTGCAGACATTGTGAATAGGCAATCCCAGGCTGCCACCAGCTCATAGACATGGTATGTATGGCTGTGGAATGTTTCTTTAAATATTCTGAAACAGTTGCTGAAATTAAACGCTGAGACAGTGCTGTGGCTTCTGAGTGGCTCAGCTGGTAAAGTGGCTGACTCTTAATTGCAGATCAGGTCATGATCTCACTCACTGTTGGTGGGATCCAGATCTGCATCAGGCTCTGTGCTGACAGTGTGGAATCTGCTTTGGATTCTCTCTCTCCCTCTCTCTTTGCCCTTCCCCCACTAGTTCTCTTTCTCTCCCTCTCTCTCTCAAAATAAATACACTTTAAAAAAATAAAATAAAAGTTGAGACATTGTGTAAACATTTGGATTCCTGGCTTTTCTTGAAAGATCAGAAAAGATGGCAGCACTAGGCCTTCATTGACACATGGCAGGGAGCTCTCAGACTTCACAACTCGCCAGGCCTCCCTCCAGCTCTGAAGCTAGGGAACATTTCTAGTGGCACTATCTGGCTGGAGCTTTTTTCTTTCCTTACCCATGCCCTGTTTGACTCATCTTCTTGGAAACTTGGGTTCACAATCACTGGTCTTCTAACAGGCATTCAGATGGTGAATGACAGCTTGGTTTTGGTTTTTGTTTTTGTCTTTTGTTTTGTTTTGCCAAACAGATAGTCCCACTTCTTTGAATGATTCCTCTTCAGACACATTCCTGAAACCCTTATCACCCAGAACTTCTCCCTCTGACATACTCGCACTGGCCAATGTTTCTCTTCAAATAGGAGCATCCAAGGGAAGCAGCTAAAATCACCTTTTAGGTGAGAGAAGAACAAGTAGGAAGGAAGAAGAGAAAAGTGGAAGTGCATTCTTGGTCAAAGGAACCCTTGTATGGAACAAGTGGCCGTGAGAAATACAAGAAAAGTTCAGTGTTTCCTGCCTGAGAGGCAATCTTTGATGACTGAGGGTCACATGGATAAACACAGGCTCACTGAGATAAGAGGGCCTGCTGTCCCCAGGTTTATTTGACTTTGTGAAAGCTCTTTTAGCAAGATGGTTAGCGGGATCCACCAAGAAGGGTGAATAAGGTCAAAGGTCACCACATTCCTGGAGTCCTAAGTGGTTGCTGTAGTAATTGTGCTCTAGGGCAAATATAAGCAACAATAAGGATCCAGGGCCAGAACACAGAAGGTGCATAATTGAAATATTTATGCCATCCATTTGTCTTTTCGTTGTCATGTACTGCTTTTCCTCATATTCTGACCATGGGACTGTAGCGTCAATGTTCCACTGAAGTAAAAAAGACTAATTCGATGACAGCGTTCCTCCTCCTACTGGAGACTATGAGGTGGTTAATGGACAGTTCTAACTTGCTCTTAATTTAAGTGTCTTCTGCTCTCTCCCTTGTAATGAACAGACTTCTTTGTATATTTTAAAAGTTATAATAGATTAGCTCCTTTTTCTTCATTTAATTTCTGAGGGTGCATGCCAACTACTAACCAGTGATCTGTTGACCCCGAAACGCCTATTAATATTATTGCAAGTAAGCTGATTAGCCACAGTGGACAGTTGGTTGGCCAAGTACTTGGACTGGGTCTCACAGGAAGGCCTGGGAGTGGTGTGGGGCCCTGGATCTTTGCAGGGTAGAGAATTCAATTTTGCTACCTCCTCTGGAGGTGAATAAGCCCTGTGGGTTTGATTAATGGTAAGTAAATCATAAAAGACTCATTTAAAACCATAATGCCAATTTAATTAATAGTCAGATGGTTGCTGAGTAGGCAAGGAATTGCAGGAAAGGAACGTGACTAATTTTTGGAAACCATTTTATCCAAACTGCTGAAGAGCCTAGAAAAGTTTTCTCACTTCATCCTAGTGTATGTGTTCCTTGTGCTCAGAATGCGTGTGTTCACCTTATCTGGCATATCTTGCTAACTGAATAAACACTGAAGAAACCTTTTTTTTTTTGTCTCTGCTTCTTTCATTGTCCATGTGGACAATCATGCAGGTAAAGGCTAGTGTTAGCTAGGAGATCTTAATTAGACCACATTTTTTTTTTTTTTTATCAAGTGTAAGTTTAGTTTCACGGTTGAATTTTAGTGCCCAACCGAGTTGGGAAAGACAATCAGGAACTCCCCAGTATAAGAATCTTCCACAGCTCTTACCCCGCACACTGCCATATTTGGGGACTACATAACTTCAAAAGCAGCAACCTCAGTCCCACACCAAGCTTGAGAATTGACCCCATCTCTATCTGGGGGGCTTTAATTTACCTTATGTTAGTAGCTCAGATGATTCAAAGTCAAAACACCTATGCCTGGGTCCAAGGTTATATCTGTCACAACAATCACACACTTGCTAGGGATTTAATCCATTAGGAGTTATTAGATGAAGTTAGAGTTTTGGCTTCTAGAGCCACTCAAAGTTCACCCATCTCCACCTATGATGGAGAGAGGTGTAGACAGAAGAGGAGATTCAAGGTTTTTTTTTTAAATATAGCTGGCCGGTTTTCTTTGTGTTTCTCTGTTTTCCTCTGCAGCTCTCATGCACCTGGTGTGGCAAAACCGGCCTGAGTTGCATGCCACTTGGATGGCCCTATGTGGCCATCCTGTGAATATCCTGTGAAAGGTAAGTAAGAACCAGGCTGTGGCTTGATGGAAGGGTCGCATGGAGCAGACTGCTTTCTTCTCCAAACATGTCTTTGTGATTGCCTGATAGCTTGGCTCAGTTCACCAGGAGACTGCCTGGCGTTTGGGTCAATAGTACCAGCTAGACTTAAAAAAGTTTTATTCTTTTGATTTTATCTCTCTATCCATACCTCCTTTAGAATCAGCTTAGGACCATCATCCAGGATCCATATCTTGTTCTCTTTTTTTAACTTTATTTATTTATTTTAAGAGAGAGAGAGGGAGAGAGAGAGAGAGAGAGAGAGAGAGAGAGAGGAAGGGGCAGAGAGAGAGGGAGAGAGAGGAATCTCAAACAGCCTCTGCACTGTCAGGACAGTGACTCTCAAGAACCATGTGATCATGACCTGAGCTGAAATCAAAAGCCGCATGCTTAACTGACTCAGTCCAGGTGCCCCGGGATCCATATTTTGGTCACTTTTATATATCTTTCAAGTTTGGAAATATGACTACATTGGGGATATTTTATGTTCATCAGCTGAATGAAAGCAAGCAACTCTTGGGTATCTTCTGAATGTG